TCAAGGTAAAATTAAAATAACATAAATAAAATGAATAAATATGGTTGAATACGTACGACCTACGGACGTCACGCACGCGCGAAACAACGTACGGACGTTTCTTGCTTGCATTTGCATTGGTCACGATTTGGCGTCGCAGACGGCTTTTGTTCTCCAAAAACTCAGATCAAAATATATAATAAAATATTTTGCACACGAAACGAAAATGAATAAATAAATAAATAAATAATAACGTCTAGGATTAGTCAGCGAGACACCACTTTGGACTCCAGAGAGGACAGTGGACAGAGCCGTGCGCCGGCAAATTGATCCATCAATTGTTATATTATTTTAATATTCATTCACGTTTCCTACCCACCACGGAAGGCGTCACCTCCGTCCGATGCGCATCGGACGGCCACGGGGCCCTCACGTGGGGTGACGGCAGGCAAAGATAAATAAAGGAAAGGAAAGGGGTGGGGAGCCAACCACGCAGCTTCGCTCGCCCTCTCGCTTTCTCACCCAGAGACGAGTGAGCCTTTCCCCTCCATTCGCCCCGCCCAGCCCGCCATTAATGGCGGCTGAATCTCCCTCCTGCTCCTACTTCTAGAAGAAGCGGCGGCAGGCAGGCGGTATCGGAGGGAGGGAGGGAGGCCCGGCCCCTGATGGTGGTGGCGCGAAAGTTGTTCAGCCCCACTTGGCAGTGCAGGCCAACGCAGGGTGCGTGATCCGGAAAGGGAAACCGCCGGCTTTTCTGCCGCCCCCTTGCGTTGCCCTCCCCACCCCCACCCACAAAAAGGTCTCGCCTTTTTCTCCTCTGCTCTGCTTGCTTGTGCTGGGCTGCTCTCCCAAATCTCCCACCTCCTTCCTCTACCCCTCTACCCTCTCTCTGACTCTGAGAGACTGGGACACTGGAGAAGATTTGGCAGTTTCGGGCAGACACACACACAGCATCCGGCTCGACGCGCCGGTTGATTCTTGCAGCTCTCGTGCTCTTCTCCGCCGTGACGAGCGAGCTCCGGGCCCTCGGGATCAAGATTCGAGCCCAGAGCCGTCGGCCACGGCGGCGTTTCTGATCGAGCCCGCGGCGTTCGTCTCGAGGATTCGTTCAGCGGTTCAGCCAGCGCGTGCTCGTCACCATGGGCAACTGCTGGGGCGCCAAGATCAGCTCCGACAGCCCGTCCCGCGGCGCCATCTCCCCATCAGGTTCCTTCCTCTCTTCATCTTCTTCTTCTTTGGATCGCTTAATTTAATTTATTCCATCATCAATCAATCATGTTAGCCTTTTGTGCTCTTCCCCTTTCGTCGTCCAACTGTCCTCTGCGATTCTCCTCCGTTCATTTCGACACTAGCTGCTGCTAATCCCCTTTTAGTTTTCATATATAATATATAAAACCAATCAATCAATCGGCTCATCACAGGCTGTGTCCGCGTGTATGATCACTGCCATCACATACTTTGGCACCTAGTGCCTGCCGCCCGCGCGTGCTCAAAAGAAACACGTCTGTTTTCAGTTTTCACATACGATTCGCCCTCTTGGATCCTTCCATGTGCTTAAGGCCAAAGCCTTCCATGTGCGCAGCTCACTTTATAGGACTTTTTCCTCACATGCCATGCCACTGACGGCACTGGATTGAACGTTCAGATTTTGGTGCTACCTTTCTGCTAAATCCTTGCTCGTTTTTCAATGTTTTTGACTGCTCCACGACGACAAAAGGTTTACTTGTTTTGTTTCTAAGCCAAGCTAAGGAAGTAAAGACGAAACTTCAGTTTTGGTGCCACTGCCACCTACTTCTAACTTCGTTCATGGATTCTTTTCCTTTTCTTTCTCCCTTTATTAATACCGAAAAAAGGAATATAAATACCCCTGATAAACTGTAATCAGCCCGTTCAGTTGGTTTCAGTCGAGGCTTATCAGCCATGGTACAGCGTTTTCCTCTCGCAATGAATCAGCACCAGTCATGCTTATCGGCCACGAACACGCCGAATGAGATGTACTGGCAGCTAGCTTGATTCGGCAGGGAAATGAATATGATGCACGAAATTCTGAATTTCTATTGTTTTTCTTGATGATCGTCAGGGACAACTTCCAAGTTCGCTAGCAGGAATGGAGCAGCAGCCTTGAGCGGCTGCAGCAGCCATGCCTCATCCGCGTCGATGCTGCCAACCCCCCGCAGCGAGGATGAGATTCTGGAGTCGGCAAACGTCAAGGCCTTCACCTTCAATGAGCTGAGGACCGCCACCAGGAACTTCAGACCAGACAGTGTGCTGGGCGAGGGTGGGTTTGGCTCGGTCTTCAAGGGCTGGATTGATGAGAAGACGCTCGCCCCGACTAGACCGGGCACAGGGATGGTCATTGCCGTCAAGAAGCTCAACCAGGAAGGCTTCCAGGGTCACAAGGAGTGGCTGGTTAGTATCTGCATGGAGTTATTGTTTGTTGGGCAGAAGCCACTTGCTGTTTCGTGCCAGTTTTGTGTTTTGTATAACGTGCAGTTCCTTTGATGTGCAGACTGAAGTGAATTACCTTGGAACACTGTCGCACCCCTATCTTGTACAGCTCGTTGGCTACTGCCTCGAAGACGAACAGCGCCTCCTTGTCTATGAGTTCATGCCACGCGGGAGTTTGGAGAATCATCTGTTTAGGAGTAAGCATCTGCCCTTCCTTTTTGCTGCTACTTACTGCTCTTTCTCACATTTGAAGGAATGGTAATAAAATGTTTCGTTATTATGCAGGGAGCTCCTATTTCCAGCCACTGCCCTGGAACCTACGAATGAAAATTGCCCTTGGAGCAGCTAAAGGTCTTGCATATCTCCATAGCGATGAAGCTAAAGTCATCTACCGTGATTTCAAGACCTCTAATGTCCTTCTAGATGCGGTATGTAATATTCAGTAGTCGTATCCTTGTACAAACAGAATAGCTCTGTTGGTTTGGTTGAGCTCGTAGCGACAAATATTCTGCAGAACTTCAATGCAAAGCTCTCTGATTTCGGGCTGGCCAAGGATGGTCCAACTGGTGACAAGAGCCATGTCTCCACCAGGGTGATGGGGACTCATGGGTATGCAGCTCCAGAATACCTTGCAACAGGTATTGCGGTGGTTCTAGATTCCAGATCATCATATGCAACTAGCATCATGAGCCATGAATTGCACTCAAATGATTGGAATTATATTGCTAAAATTTAACCAAATCTGTCCGAAACATGCATGATTGGATTGTAGCAGAAAAAAAATTATGTCTCATTCACACTATATTCATGGTCATACTGCTGCCAGTCTTAAGAGTCATTTTGAATCTAATTACTGAACCTACTGACAAATGTCATTGTTCCTTGTGAAGGTCATCTGACCACCAAGAGTGACGTGTACAGCTTTGGAGTAGTACTCCTAGAAATGTTGTCAGGACGCCGAGCACTGGACAAGAACCGCCCGAACGGGGAGCACAACCTTGTAGAGTGGGCTAGGCCATACCTGAGAAGTAAGAGGCACATATTTCGCATCCTGGATCCCCGGCTGGGCGGGCAGTACTCCCTTGCTAGGGCGCAGAAGGTTGCAGCACTTGCCCTGCAATGCCTCTCAGTGGAGTCCAGGCACAGGCCCAGCATGGATGAGGTGGTAACGGCCTTAGAACAGCTCCAGGACGCCAAGGAAGGAGGTAACCATCACCTACAGAAGAGGCCAAGCAGTCGGAGCATGGACAACAATGGTGTCAAAGTGGCAGTGAAGGGGAAGCCTGCTCCTTCTGTAAAACCAGTTTGAGTGAGTGGATTATATGCTAGAGTATTTTTTTCCCCTTTTGTAGGTGTAGGTAATATAGTAGGTTCATAGAGGGATTTGTAAAGAGGCAGAGATCTGGATGTTTTGTGTCTATCATGTAGCTTTTACATTTTCAAGTCTTTGTAAAGTACAGTATGTAAATACATAATTACATCCAGTCGAGAGTGTTATGAAATTTTGTTCAAGCCAAACAGCTCAACTGCTGTTAAAACTCTGCAAGCTGCTTTGTCTCATCTTATGAATATAATCTGAGGGTAGAACGGATGCAATTGATCAAGTGTTATCAGTCATCAAGACAGGTTCCAGATTCGGGTAAATGAATCTGAGAACATATATTAACCCTGAAAACTTCATACATATACTTGTATAACACATCACATTTGAACAAGTCTGGATACATGCTGAGTTATCCAGGATAAATTAATTAACGCACATCTTCGATCAAATGATTAAGCATGTTTGGTGCACAGTGTCGGCCTTTCAGTGACCCTCCCTCCTGATAGCAATGACACTTTCGTAACCTCTTGAGCAGTTCTTTATCCAAATTGTTGTACTATGGGTTTATCTAAACACAGAAAACAGAAAAGAATATAATGCAGCATGGGTTCATCTGCTGCGTATGGACACATCTCAGAAAGGAATGTATCTGTTTTACAAAACACTTGGCTTGATCAAATCTTTAAAATGATTCGTACACAGTAAGCCCTTCTGATCAATACGAGTGGCATCTGAAAAATGTTTCAGTCGATCAGAAGGGTTCCATCTCATCAGATTATCTAAACTTTCTTCATCAGCTGCAATTAGAATTTTAGTCATTTATCCATTTCCGTTTCCTAGGATGCCCTTGCTTCACTAGATAAACCCGGCCGTAGACCCAACTTCTTCTAGGCCCTGACAAAGATTTCTGCAGAACACCATAACAAAGGGGAAAAACTAAGATGCCATGTTCTGTAGCGGGGGAAAAAAAACTCTATAGTGATTTCACCCACTTGTGAACCCTATGAAAATCTGGAATCGAGCCCATAAATAATAAATAACTTTATTAAGCACATGTGATTCATTAGTGCATTGCAGCATTAATTTTGAATGCGAAATGTGTCACAGTTAAGGAGCTGAACATGTACAATGCTAAGGGGTAGCAGATTTTTTTTTTTTATATACAACACAATCTTGGTGCAGATCAGCAGATGTCATTGTACTCTGAAAAAGGAAATTGTGTTGTTTTGCATGCATTGCCATCCGAAAATCATAATTTGACTTCATTTCTTTTGCCACATTTTGATATTGCAAATGCAAAGTAGCATGAAAATACAGGTGTTCCGTGTACCTCAATTTTCGTGCGGTACTCCAAAGGGCACTCACAGACATGACATTCTGCTCTATGAGGTGCTCGAATGGATTTATCAGTCTTGACAAATGCAAATACCTGACATCAACATGCTCAAGTTTCTCAGATCACCAGATGATTACAAATAAATGATAAGCAGAATGATAACTGATTACTATCATTACAATACTACTAGAACTGAACCTAACCTGCTCACCACAATTTGGGCAGGACCCTTTTAGTGCAACCAAATTGTTTGTCAATAAGCTCCGCAGAGCACCAACTGAAACAACCAACCAGACGGTTTACCATGTGTAGAAATTAAGATATGAGATGTACAAACATGACGGCAAAAGCGAGAATTGACATATCTGCATCCTCACCGGACGCAGAAGCGATGGGATAACCAACTAGATGCCCCAATCCAACCAAAACCAAGTCGTTAGCTCTTGTTATCGCATCAAGGGACTTTTCACCGTACAGGAGGTGCCTTGCTCCAAACACATCCCCGAACGCGATGCTCAGAGTGTACAGACTAGGAACAAGAAAGGCAGAGGTGCCAAACAGGAGGAGCAACATCCAGATGCTTGACAATGCCATAAACATCGCTTGGTCCTCCTGCCCTATACCCAAAGGCCGATAAAACATCGGAGCGTAAGCCAATAGCCTTAGTACCGAGCAAACGGGATTAAGTTTAGATGGGAAACAAACGCGAAAGGTTACCTCGGCGTCGGCATAGGTCGATTGCCTGATGAGGCTGCAGCGGGGGTATTTGACGACAGATTTGGAGCCGTAAAGCCGGAGCTTCAGCTGCAAAGGGCATATGGTTCGTCAGAAGAAGAGCTGCTGGAATCTGGTCTACTACGAATTTGGAGTCTGAAACTCTGAATATGTATGTGGTGAGTTAGCTATCAGCTAATTGGCAAAGTGCAGCTCGAATTTCACTTTACCTCGACTTTGTCAAACATGTCGTCAACGATCAATGGCTGACCGCTGTAGTAGGAATCCCTGGCCTGCGCACACACAGCACATCACAGGGGGTGAAGAGCATGTTAATGGCCGGCAGCTAATGAGCTTGAGCAAGAAAACAAACGAAATCGAGCCTGCTTGTGGATTGTTGTGGCTGGGAGGCAGACTACTGTAAGCATGTAGTATGCAAACATGCCCCAGCAAGAACTGAACAATCTATGTATAAAAGAAAGAAGCTTCTTTCTGGCATGGAGATGGAGGGGAAGGCAGAAGCACCTGGTGGTAGAGCGCCTCGAGCTTCTCTTGGCTGGCGGTCTCGATTGGCCCCACGTAGAGGCAGGATGGCCCCTCGCCGCCGCCGCCGCCGCCGCCGCAGCGGCGGCGGCGGCGACCCTCGCGCCGCGCAGCCGCACCCAGGGCGGGCGAGGGCGCGGGCGGCTGAGGCGGCCGCTCCCGGGAGCCACCGGGGCGGCGGCCGTCATACGCTGAAGCCGAAACGGCAACTGTTTCTCTCGTCGTGGGAGAAGGGAGGGGGAGGAGGAGGAGGGAGCGCGGCGCGGAGGGCGAAGAGACTACAGTAGAGAGGGTAACCAAATCGGGAAATCAACTGGCCGTCGTCGTGTTGCGCCTGCGAGCAGGTCGAGGGAGTGGCGGTTGCGTGGAGGACACATACCAGCCAGCCGCGACGGGGAGACGTGTGGCTCTGCTCCACGGGGCGACGGCGGCGTCTCAGGGGTCCGGAGTCCGGACAGATCTTTTGGCGCAGCGGCAGGAGAGGAGACGGATGGACATGGATGGCTACAAGTCAGCAGCGTCAGACAGAGCCAGAGGTCGCCGAGCACAGCAGAGTTCCTTACGTGTCATCCCTCCGTTTCTCTACGATGCCATTGTTGGAGTTGGAGTTGCTTCTTCGCATCAATGTGTTGCCTTTGCTGTGTGTTTTCCACTGTGGAAAATCAGTCGTTTCACCTCATCTCATCTTATCCGAATCTGCTGCAGTCTTCTTCGAGTGTGTGTTTGATCATCAACGTCGAGACACACACTGGGTAGTGGGTACACAGTAGGAGCGCACGACACGATACGACAACTAATTCGACCATTACCCAAAAATATATATATAAAAAAACGTGCGTTGCGATAGAACTAGTTGCTCCGTCACATGTACAACTAAACCAAAAAAAGTCACATGTACAACTTGCGGTTTGGAAATTTATGCAACAATTGCGTTTTGTTCTAATTTACAGTATGTTTTAAAATCGAACTCTGTACATGTCTAGATAAAATATGGTCTCATATTGAATTTGGACTATGTTAGATTTGATTGGAAATATGGTCTGAATTTCGATTGAAAACAGACGGCAAGAGTGAGATGCGGATGGACTATGGAGGAGAGTGAGGCGGTGGTGGGATACGTAGTGATGAAAAGTAGGAGAGAAAAATTTTCTCCTTTAAATATTTATATATTAGATAGAAAGTAGAGATATACGACCTGTTCGCTAGTTGGTTTTTGGGCTGATAAGTCCTGGCTAGTGCTGGTTTGTTGTGAGAGAAAAATACTGTTGGCTAGCTGATAAGCCCTGACTGAAACCAATAAGCGAACAGACTGATAGATGTAAATAAACTAATATGGGCGTTCAATTCAAGGCCTACTACTTTCTTACGATACTGTAGAAAAACAGTCTCTCTAAGTCCAAAAAGCATATGAATCTCATTTCTCAAGGAGTCAAACATTCTTAAGTGTTTATAAAAAAACATTCTTAAGTGTGACTACATTTATAGAAAATAATATCTACATTATATCTATAAAAGCTTTTTACAAAAATATGGTCTACTACTAATATAATGATACTTATTACGTATCATAGCTATATCAGTATTCTTTTTATGTATAACTATTCAAATTTAAAATTAATTAACTTTCTGAGAAGTGAGATTTACATCTTTTTCTAACACACATAAGGTAGTAGTATTATTTTGTATTGCCACTCCACAACGCAATTACTCACGCCTAGAGTAAACAATCTGGGCCCTTGAACTGAGCCCATCAAAGACCAACACAATAATCACGGATAGATGGGCCAACCATTCAGCCCAACTCCGGCTATCCATCTCCATCTCCCTCTCCCAAGTCCCAAAGTTCTCTCGTTGCAAAATCCCCCAATTCAATTCTCTCCCTCTTCCCCGCAAATCCCTCGAGCCGATCGGTTGGGATGGAATCTGGAGGAGACGAGGAGCCCCCGCGCTCGGGGGATCCGCTGGAGTCGGAGGAGCAGCGGATGTCGTCGTCGTGGTCCGACCTCGAGCAGCATTTGCCCGCCGCCCTCCGCCGTCAGACCCCCGCCGCCGCCGCGCCTGCTGGAGCCGGGGGAGTGGCGCCGGATCGGGCGGCGGTGGCGGCGGCGATTCGGCGACAAAAGGCCGCGCAGCGCGCCAGGGCCGCGACGGACGCGTTCTCCGCGAAGCTCGCCCCGGCCCGGTCCCTCGCCGACCAGACCTTCGCGCGCCGAGGTACTGCCGCCGCCGCCGCCCGACCTCCCCCCTCGTTTCGGCTCAAGGTGTTGGGTGTTTCTGTCTGCAGAGCAGCTCAAGGGACTCAAGGATCAGCTCCGGAACCTCCAGTCGCAGCTCAGCGAGGCTGTCACACGTACGCGCAGCAAACCTTTCTTTCTCCACTACATTACATTTTGGGCTGTTGGGGTTGCCTCACGAGAGGCCGTGCTGCTACGGTGACTGAAATACGGTTCCGCTCCGCCCTTTGCAGTTCAGTCGTCCAAGGAATCGAAACGCAAGCGTGCCACAGAGTCGATCTTGGAGGCCACGGCTACGAATGAGCGGCTCCGTAGCTTGGTGGCGGATTCCAGGGAGAAGAGGGACTTGCGTAATGCAATCACATCCGAGGAACTTAAAGGTGTATGCACGCCCTTGTCTACTATCCCGATGCTACTTTTGTCTCTTGGGTTGTTGTTATTGCTGTGGCATTGTCACAGGTCATAACAAATGCATCAAGTAATATGCCAGTGATAACACTCTATTTGTTTTCGTCCTGTTGCAGCTCTCGAATCACTTGAAGCAGAGAGTAAAGAAGACACCGAGAGGGATGAGAATGCACGAAAAAAAGCTCTTCTCTGGTATGATAAGTTCCTCGGCTTCCGGGTTATCGGTGGAGAAGGAGGTAAGCCATACACAAGCTTGATGCTATGCTTAGTTACATGGTGCTGGTGCGGTGCTGCCACTGTGTTCCCTGACAAGCATCTTGTTTTTTTTCCCCCTCAAGATGTGAAGTTTGTTTACAATAAGATTGACCCACAACGTCCAGAGAAGGAATACTCGTTTCGTGTAAGTCCGAGTTTACAGTGTGAGTTGAAGCTCCTTCCGGTGTCTGGCCAAGTGCCTCTGTTGTATACCTCCCTTCTTTTTTTACATTTTTTACATGTATATTTTCTCAAAATTATTCTTCTTTCATAGCAGTCATCGAATGTGATCCTCACGTCAAGGATATTGAGGAATTGGCGAAAGATTTGGATTTGAATAAACATCTATTCAAGTTTGCAAGAATGGCCAGAGAGAAATTCCAGTCTTCTTTCATGAATGGTAACCAACAATTTATATCATTTACCTTTTTACGATAATGTGATCAAGTATCAGATTTATAAACATCTTCTACAAATATAATAATCCGAATGGACTTTTTTTTTCTCGAACATGAGGGGGTAAAACAAAACAAACCAGAAGACAACCTTTCTAAGATTACAAATAATCGACCCGACTATGCAAATGCACTGGACCTATAACCCAAGACGCCCGAGTTCTAGGTTCTGGAGGTTTCTTGCCCCAGCCAGAACCCAGAGATGACCCTCCAGCTGCAAGTTTCTCAGAGGTTGAGACACTTGGCGAATCTCCGTCAAACACACAGGCGTTTCGATGCTTCCACAAGGTCCAAGCCCCCAAAATGATGAGAGAGTTTACTCCTTTCCTTTGTTGTTTATCAACTCTTTTAGTGATTTTCCTCCACCAAGTGGCAAAGCTGTGTTCCCTTCTATTAGGTACCAGCTGCTGCAAATTAAGTGGAGAGAGCACACTATGCCAAAATTGTCTTGCAAACACACATGTTGTAAGAATATGCTGGATAGTTTCTTCTTCTTGGTCACAGAGTATACATTTATCTGGATGAGGAAGCCCCCTCTTTGTTAGCTGATCAGCTGTCCAACATTTATTTTTTATGGCAAGCCAGAGGAACATCTTACATTTTGCTGGTGCCCAAGATTTCCATACGGCGCCATGGTTCAAACTGAATAGACCCATAAAAGAATGCCTTGTATGCCGTCTTGGATGAGAAAGAACCTGATATTTCATGCTTCCAAATATGCTGATCATCATCACTTGTGAGGGTAAAATTCATAAGAGCATCCCAAAGTTTGAGGAACTCTATCAGCCATTAAGAGAGACCCCCACGTATGTCCTGTACCCACACCCGGTTGTCCAACGCCTCCTCAACCTTGCGAGTTTTTAGGATCCTTGATGGCACACAAACAACAACCTCTGAGGCCATGTCTACTAGGGAGCAGCCATGTAACCAACGGTCTGTCCAAAATAAGGTATTTCTTCCATTGCCCACATTTGTTATCACCGAGATTGCAAACATTCCTTGGGCATGTGGATGGGAAGGGATTTCGAGACCTGACCATGCTCTATCTGCTGAAGTTTTTTGCCACCACAACCACTTCATTTGTAGAGCCCACCCCATAATTTCCAAGTTTTGGATAACCAAGCCACCGAGTTCCAAAGGCCTTTGCACTTTCTCCCATCCCACCAAACAGCAGCCCCCATTGGCCTCTTTGTGACCTCGCCAAAGAAAACCTCGTCTTATCTTGTCTATAGCCTTTATCACCCATTTTGGCACATTTATCGCAATTAGTAAATAAACAGGGATGGCTGATAGAACAAACCGTACCAAAGCCGCTCGACCAGCTTTGCTCAGGAGCGAGGCTTTCCAACTAGGTAGCCTATCTGCTACTTTCTCAATCCAAGGCATAAGATCTCTCTTGTACAGCTTCTTGTTAGATACTGGTAATCCCAAGTAAATACAGGGAAATTCCTTTGTTGGACATTGCATGGTGTCTTGGACAATCTGAATTGCAGTATCCTCACAATGGATAGGCACCACACAACTTTTATTCAGATTTGTATGCAAACCAGAGGCTGCACCAAAACACTCCAATAGTCCTTTAGTAATTCTCAATTCCTCTTCCACGGGCCTAATGAATAATGCCACATCATCCGCATATAAAGAAATACGTTGTCCTGCTGCACGTCGAGATAAAGGCTGCAGCAGACCTTCCTCTCCTGCCTTGGTAACAAGGCTGTTAAGAACGTCCATAACAATGATGAACAGCATAGGTGAGAGGGGCCGGAGTCCCCTCTGATGGATTATAGATTCCCCGGGAGCACCATTAACAAGACTTGAGACAAGGTTGCACCACTGCTGCCCAGAGCCAAGGTGAGAGAGAACCTCCATTAAAAATGACCAAGAAACCGAATCAAAAGCTTTGGAGATATCCAATTTTAGGAAAAGACTTGAGACTTTCTGACGCTGCAGCAACTTGATAGTTTGTTGCACTAGAATGAACCCTTTTATGTTCGGATATTTTCAGTTTCAGCGAAATTCTCCGGATATATACCCCCTTTTATGTCCCAAGATTTTTGTATGCAAGATAGATTGTATACCTTTTCTCTGGAAGTTAGCAGTTAACTTTTGTCATTGTGTACTTTTTCTTTGCAAGTTATCAGTTAACTCTTATTCCTCAGGGACTCTTCCTATAAGCCCAGTTGTCTCCGTAGAGACTCTTCCTGTAAGTCCAGTCGTCGGTTCAGATGTCTCTGCTGCGCCACTCCCATCACCTGTGATGTCAGTTAGCAACAGAAGTGAGGACGCTCACAATCAAACCCAATCCTCAAGCAAGAAAAATGTGCAGTTACTTCCTGCTAAGAGAGAAGCCACAGCCCTGTCAGGAGTGTCTCCTGGTGTTTTGCGTCGTTCCCCACGTCTCGAGGCAAGTTGACTGTCAATGTCTAGATGCATTCCCATTCTCGGCTAGTGATTATCTAGACTCTAGAGGACAAGTTGACTGATGTAGTATGGTCATGTCATAGTTTTTTGCATTGTTTGTGCAGGGAAAGCGGTGAGCTAGTAGCCGAAGCAGATTCTGACCTGGATCTTGAACCAAGTGATTCTGATACTGTGGTGATTTAATCCATATGGTGCTTTTCTTTCTTTTAATTTAACTGAAACCTAGAAGAGTATGGTGCCTTGGTTGGCAGTTGGCCGGGCAGAGTGGCTAACTTGGCCTGTAATATTCTGTTGTACTCTGCTGTAGTGGATGAGGCCATGAGTCGTGTTCTGGTTTATGGTGTCTATATGTAGCAAATTTATGAGATTTCAGCAACCACGAGCTCGTTGGTTGTCGCTAGCCTTAACCAAATTATCAGATATTCATACCCACTAAAATGTGAATACGCATATCTGTATCTGCTTTCAAAATGGATGTTGTAACAAATACATTCGAATTCGTCTTTCTTCATTTGCATGATCCAAATTTACATTGGTATCCGAGGTAGACGTGGATATGGATGAATGTCAGTTAAGTATAGATAAAGCACCTCCTAAACATGCTATGGCCCCGTTTGGCTTACACAGAAACCAGTTTGTTCGGCTTGTTTTTTCAGTCGGAACAATATTTTTCTCTCACAACAATTCAAGCCAGAATAGTGTTTTTAGCCATTTTAGTCAAGTTTCAGCAAGCCGAACGGAGCCTATCAATATATGCTTTTGATTTAGTTTGAAACTGATATATTTATTAAAGAAACCATTTTCAAATACTATTATTTTTTTATGCAAATTGTTTTCTATATTCTGATTCACTTATTTTTATTGATATATTCTTATATATTGATATATTTGATTGTTTAAATATTCGTTGATAAATAGGGATGCAAATGGATTGGGTGTAAATAGATATATACAGATACAAATACAAATTATTATGCTTTTTTAATTTATTTATATTTTGGTGATTCTAGCGCCTGGATGTTCGGCGTATGATTGTGCGTCCCAACGTCGTTCTGCTTCCGAAACCCACCCCCCGCGCACGCGGAATAGAACGAAACCTACCCGCCCCTGCGTGTAGAACGGAATAGAAGGAACCTGCCCTTGTCCTCCGCTCCACACCGCGCCCCTATCCCCATTCCCCACTGCACCCGTTCCCCGTCGCGCCCCTATCCCAAAAGAGCACGAAACACTTCAAGTGCAAATTGCAAAACATATGGAAAAACTTTATAGTGCAACATCGGGATATAAATACTGCAACATCGCAAACATATGCAGTGCAACATTGAAAAACATGTACTGCAACATCGAAAAAATATGTACTGCAACATAAAAAAAATATGTACTGTAATATTGAAAATTATTTACTGCAACATTGAAAAAATATGTAGTGTGAAGAAAACTTTCACTTATATGCTACTTGTTTTGCATTGAGTTTAGTCAAGCTTTATTGATGCCTTATGAGGGATTTGTCATACTCTTAAAATCAAGATTACGTACACACCACCCACATATGCACTACTCCTATACTAGGGGTAGGAGCAAAAACATGCCTTCCATTTAGATCCACCCAAAAATATTTTACTCCTACGTTGGGAGAAAATACCAAAAATATGCTTCATAGGTTTCCACCAAATAAATGCTCCAAGTTCTTATTGCTATCTCTTAAAAGTTTGTGCAGAAAAGAGGCATGGGCTATGCAAAAGTTATTCATAAAAAAAAGAGAGACGAAGAAAGAAGAATTAAAAAAAATGGATAAGTGTCCGAAGTATTAAAACAATGGGTACTTAGACGTCCGCCTGAAAAAAAGAGATAAATAAGATAACCCATATTTTCTTGCAATTGTTTCCAAGTTTAAAATAAGACATATGTTTTCAAGGAGCATAATAGAATTAGGCTAGCCACCATATATATCCACCATATTCCATACACATGCACATCTTGATTTGATTGTATGACTTAACTCTCTTTAGATCAAAGGTTTGACTTTATAATATATGTATTGCAAGTATGCTCTCTTCATGCAATTACCACTCATATGAGCTCCACATAAGCATTGGTTATAGGAGAAGAAAAGGCATAACATCATTCCTTGCCTTGGTGAGGATCCACAAATAATACATATATGAGAGACTTGAGTGTCATACAATAGAATCTCTGAGTTTTATTTTGAAAACTTATAAAAACTCTAGAATAATGGTTGAACAAAAGAACCTGAGACATAGTACCTGACTTGATCGTTCTGTCTTTTAATTGCTCAAGATGCAAGTGAAAGTTAGAAAGCCCCATGGTTGAAGGTAATATGAGTAAGTTTGAAAGTCAGATCGATGAATTTTAATTCGGAGGGATTCTTGTTTGAATGCATGTGTACTTTAAAAGAGTTGCATTAATGTTTTAAAAAATCCTAACTTTCTGATCCATTGCTAAGTTTGGCATTGCTCATGGACGAGCAAAAGTTAAGCTTGGGGGAGCTTGTTGACGGTAGTTATCATACATCATAAATAGTCAACTTTACTTGTATAAATGCATAAAAAGGATCACCAATAAAGACTTAGGAGTTTAAACTGATAATTTCCATAAGTTTTGGTGAATCTGTGTTTTCAGCAAGGCTTATCCAGAAAACCGTCAAGGAGGATCAAATCCTCAAATAAAATCACGCTTATCCGCGGCGAAATCAACTTCAAAAGGTTCTAGAAGACTCGAGAGGACTCCACACCGAAGCGGGGGCCAAGCCACTGCCAGGTGGGGCTGGCCGGCCTCACCTAGAGGCTACCTGGCCCCTGGGGGACCCACCTATCAGCCTCCTTCGTATGTCATTTTCCCACCGCCTTCTAGGATGCGTCTACACCATCTCTTAAGTCGGTTTGATCCAAGGGCTCACGTTGGACGCTCCGGCCTATATAACTAGCCCCTGCCCCCCCTCCAGAGCATGCTGCCATAAGTCAAGAGTAGACCAGAAATTAGGGTTTCCAGAGAGAAGAGAATAGGGCTCCAATTCAAGTTTCTAGTATAAGCTAGCTAGCAAGGTTCAAGTAGAGTTTGGGCTATCGCTCAGGATTACGGATCTATCATCTAGAGACTGGTATAGCCATTGTATCTCTTTATTTATGACTTTGTGCTACTTAAATATTATATTGCTATTTATTATGTTCCTAGTTTGCTCTAGTAATATGCTTGATATAGTTATGATTGATGATGAATATATGCATATGTTCGTAAAGCTCTTAGCTCAGTTCTCGAGAGAGTTAAGTGGTCGATATTATGTAAGCATGGTGCTTAGATATTGTTTGCCTACGGATGCATTCTGCACTCTGGGTCATGTGGTAGATCATGGATGTGACACTCCTATTGAGTCCTTTGTAGTCCACTCCCCGTTTGTAGAGCACGTAGAACGTGATTGCGAAGAAAGACAAGCTCTATTCTTAATCTTCCTTAGTAATGTTCCTTATACATAGATCCAAAGTTAGTTATACTTAGATGAGAGTGTATATACTTGGGTGTACAAAAGACTTAGTAGATAAGTAATGACTTAGAAATCTTTTGCTCTTAACGAATCTCCTACTTAGCTTTACTACATTTTATGAGTATGTATTTCTATCTCTAGAACACCATTATTACCTTACACCTATCATTTATTTATCACTTGACTTACCCCTGCCATATCACGAGAGTGGTTTTAGCATAAGTATACATATTTGTCAATATCTCTATGCCAACACAACCCCATAGCTTCGTCCGTGGATAAAATATAAATAACGATACTCGGTATACTTCCGAGTGAAATGCTACAATGGTATATTATATGTGCGCTTGCGGATACCTTATATATATAGTTTACAAGTGTTCTCATAATTACCAACAATGCATTTTTGGCATCATACTAGGGATAACAACATAGTTAAGAGTGATGCTAAGAAACATCAACAATGTCCATATAACTCTACTACGGCTTCTTAGGGGTTGGAAACACACAAATTCCGAGAAGATACCTAATCGTCCCAACATGATGATACCTAATCGTCACAAAAATAACATGGCTCGAACACGGCCAAAACAATAATCATGGGCTCTGTTGGTATTTATTGACTTGTCACTTGTTTTAGTAGCCACCTATTAATTACCTACATCTCCTAACATTATTTTACTAGGTTGTCATCCCTACTGATGGTGCCAGAGATGCTTGTTGGTACTGTCTAGCATCACTACTAGAATGATACTAAGTAGTTCTTTATCATTTTATGTGACTAGAAAGAATATAAAGATATACGAATGAAAAGGAATCTGCAAGCGCACAGATAATTATACCATTGTAGCACTTCACCTGAGAGTATTCCAGGTATCGTTATTTATATTTTACCACAGGGAAGGTCTAGCATGGACAAGTATTGATAACTTATACCATTGATGAAGAAATAAACCATAACCAATATTCTACTCATAACAGGGGTAAGTCATACGATAAGGGATATGAAAAGTATTGATCAATAATAATGATAAATCACTCAGAGTACTCCTTTCTATGACATTAGCATGGTCATGTAGAATATTAGATGAATAATTTCTAAGTCATTCTTAATTACAAGTCAAAGCATACATTGATTAGTGCAATTACACCTAGTAATCATGGCTAAGATCATCTTTATATCTACACATAAGGGATATTACTAGGGAAGAGTAAGAACATAGCTTATCTTCCTTCGTAATCAGATCCTACGTGCTACCTACATTGGGGAGTGCACTACAAAGGACTCAACGGGAGTGTCACGTCCATAATCTACCACATGGCCCCGAATATAGGGTGTATCCACAGGTAAACAACATATAAGCACCACGCTTACGCAATGTCGACCACTCACCCCGTGTACTTTAGAGCGAGCGCGTTGTGAACTTATGCATAAACATAATGATAAACTAGCTATACTAAGTATATAATCAAAGTAGACGATGAACATTATAACAAAGAACATGAATAAGATGAATACTAATATTATCATAACAATTGTAGCAAGCATATAAAAATAATGGAGATACAAAAGAGGGGGTATAAGGATTATACCAAACCACGCTCTTGACACGATCGAGAATCCAAGCGAAGCCTGCTTGCCTTCCTCTAGACCTAACCTAACTAGCTATGCCCTAGATTTGAT